TAACAGAATGGTTGCGGAAACAGAATCCAAGTCTCTGAAGAAAGAAATTGAAGAAGATATCAGAAGATGGAAACATCTCCTGTGCTCATGGATTGGTAGGATTAACATTGTGAAAATGTCCATCCTGCCAAAAGAAATCTACAGATTCAATGCAATTCCCATCAAAATACCAACTCAATTTTTACAGACCTTGAAAAAAAGATTCTTAGCTTCATATGGAGAAACAAAAAACCCAGAATCTCCAAAACAATCCTGTACAACAGACTATCTGGAGGTATCTCCATCCCTGATCTCAAGTTGTACTACAGAGCAATAGTAATAAAAACTGCATGGTATTGGCCTAAAAACAGAAAGGAGGATCAATGGAACTGCATAGAAGACCCAAAAATAAACCCACACACCTATGAATACTCGATTTTTGACAAAGACTCCAAAACCATTCAAAGGAAAAAAGACAGCATCTTCAACAAATGGTGCTGGTCCAACCGGATTTCTACATGCAGAAAAATGAAAATAGATCCATATTTATCACCCTGCATAAAACTAAAGTCCAAGTGGATCAAAGACCTCAATATAAAACCAGATACTCTAAATATGTTAGAAGAAAAAGTGGGGAACAGCCTAGAACTCATTGACACAGGAGACAACTTCTTGTCAGAACACCAACAGCACAAGCTCTAAGAGCAACAATCAATAAATGGGTGCTCATGAAACTGAAAAGCTTCTGTAAAGCAAAGGACACCGTCATCAAAACAAAACGACTGCCTACAGATTGGGAAAGAATTTTCAGTAAACCTTTATCTGACAGAGGACTAATATCCAGATATACAAAGAACTAAAGAAGCTGAAAAGCAGCAAACCAAGTAATCCAATTAAAAAATGGGGAACAGAGCTAAACAGAGAATTCTCGACAGAGGAATATCGAATGGCAGAGAAACACTTAAAGAAATGCTCAACTTTATTAGCCATCAGGGAAATGCAAATCAAAACGACCCTGAGATTTCACCTTACACCCATCAGAATGTCCAAGAAGAAAAACTCAAGTGACATGCTGGAGAGGTTGTGGAGAAAGGGGAACCCTCCTTCACTGCTGGTGGGAATGTAAACTGGTACAACCACTCTGGAAATCTATCTGTCGCTTTCTCAGACTGTAGGAATAGTGCTTCCTCAAGACCCAGCTATACCACTGCTAGGTATATACCCAAACTTTGCTCAAGTACACAAAAAGGATACTTGCTTAACCATGTTTGTAGCAGCTTTATTTCTAATAGCTAGAACCTGGACACAACCCAGATGTCCATCAACGGAGGAATGGGTACAGAAATTGTGGTATTTTTACACAATGGAATACTACTCAGCAATCAAAAAGGAGGAAATCATGAAATTTGCAGGCAAATGGTAGGATCTAGAAAAGATCATTCTGAATGAAATATCCCAGAAGGAGAAAGACAAACATGGTATATACTCACTTATATAGACCTATAAGATATGGTAAACATAATGAAATCTATACACATAAAAAAGGTAATCAAGAGAGTGGACATGGGGTAAGATGATCAATCCTCACTTAGAAAGACAAATGGGATGTGCATTGAACATATGACAGGAGTCTACTGAGAACATTTGAAAGACTTGAACTAGCAGTGTTTTCAAAGCAAAGATTCATGACCAAACCTTTGGCAGAGTACAGGGAATCATAAGAAAGAAGGGGAGTTAGTCTGATGGGGAAAGGATAGGAGCTCCACAAGGACCAAATATATCTGGGCACAGGGTCTTTTCTGAGACTGACATTCAACCAAGGACCATGTATGGATGTAACCTAGAACCTATGCTCAGTTGTAGTCTGTGGTAGCTCAGTAACCAATTGGTTTCCCATAGTGAGGGGAACAAGGACTATTTCTAATAGGAACTCAAGGACTGGCTCTTTGGCCTCCCCACCCCCCCAAGAAAGGAGCAGTCCTGTTAGGCCACAGAGGAGGGCTTTGCAGCCAGTCCTGAAGATACCTGATAAAACAGGATCAGATGAATGGGGAGGCTGTCCCCCCTATCAATGGACTTGGAAAGGGGCATGGTGGAGATGAGTGAGGGATGGTGGGATTGGGAGGGAATGAGGGAGAGGGACACGGCTGGGATACAGAGTTAATAAAATGTAACTGATAAGAAAAATATAAAATTAAAAAAAGAATAATAGAAATTGATGAAAAAGAAGATTTCAGGCTTCAAGGTCCAGAAAATATTTTCAAGAAAATCATTACAGAGTTCATGTTCTTTTTGAAATATTTACAAATTTTTCAAAAATGATCCTAGCTTGTGTCTGGTTGACTTAAAATTCAGCCAGCATAATATATAGTGCGTGTGTGTGTTTGCATGACTACATTTGTGTGATTGTGGGTTTGCCACATTATAAATGTGGGAGTTCTATGAGAACATGTGGTAGTTTTTTTTTGTTTGTTTTTTTTTTGTTTTTGTTTTTGTTTTTGTTTTTTCTCTTCCTCATCATGTAGTTCCCAAGGACAGAACACATATCATCAGCCTTGGCAGAAAATGTAACCACTCAGTGATCTGTCTCACTGATTCGGTGTTCTCAGCAGTTGGGAAAATGCTCACATGAATTTTCATGTTTGTGAGAAAACAACAGTGCTGACATCTTTCATGTGTTTATCCTCCTATGAGCGTACACATGTTTAGTGACAGCTACACATATACTAGTTTACATTTATATGTTTGACACACACCAAAAATTCAGTACATAGATTCTGAATGTCATATTCTTCCAAGTAAGCATTTTACCCACAGAGGAGATGAGGTTTTAGCAATATATGATGCTTGTTTTGTTCATTGTGTCAGATTTATATTTTGGTAGTCTTCAGTACCTCTACTTCAAAAAGTGTGGCTAAATACCAGAGAGAGTTCTATGAATACATGTATAACCTCAAATTCACCCCAAAGTACAAAAGTTCCACTTTCTTGCTCCTTAGAACTTGACTGGAAGTGAGTTGTTCAAAGCATCGATCACACTTGATCATGATGAACAGTAGCTTCATATTTCTGGGATGGAGCATTAGTCACAGGGGCAGAAGTCAGCTAAGGTGACAAGCTTGTACACTATTTTGAACTATGTTTGGAGCCACTGCAGTGTTTCAAGCATTTCTAGGTGGCCTGATTCAGTGTATACCTGCTGTTTAGAACTATAGGACATTGTGTGAAGTATCATATATAATTGTTTTATGCTTACACTGGTTAATACATTTTTTAAGCCATCTCCTTTGCATTATTCCAAATCTATTAGTGTGGGTTTAATAAGATTAATATTTATCAAGTCTACAGCTCTATTAAAACTTCAAATTGTGTGACCTCTGTAAACTTATTCTGCCCATGCCTGAGCATACAAAGACCTCTGTGCCTGCTATGGGCTGTAAGCATGGGATACAGGCTGATGTTCTTGATCATGTCTTTGTCTTTTGGTGATAACCATACTTGCTGAAATATACCTGTAAACTAGTAAGCAATTGTTAGGTGAAGATGGATTGAACGTGGATATAGTATAATACCAGCTTTTTTCTAAGCTTGTGGTATTTAGATGTAAGAGAGTGTCGCTTTGTGCGAGTATATCTTAGTAAACCGCTTGCTTTGCAAGCATGGGGACATGTGTTCACGTAGGTATGTTGTCAAAGCCAGGTATGTTGTACACACTTGTAATCCTCATGCTGAAGAGGTATTGACATGAAAGCTCATTGTCCAGCCTGCGTGGCCAAATAGCTAAGGAAAAACAACTTTGTGACTAGTAAGAAACAACCTATGACATTAACTGTCATCTTCCTAACACATAAGCACACAAATGCATGTACACATAAACACACACACACACACACACACACACACACAAGATGGTCTTCTCATATTTTATTTTTACAAAGGTATAATAGCATATGTTTATTTTATGATTACTAGCCTTATGTGTTGAACAAATGGCCATTTAGAGACCTGCTAGATGCTGTGATGCAGTGTCACGTAGAACACATCCATGGTTCTTAGAGGTTCTTTAGCACATAAAAGATAAACCAGTATGTTGATGATTCTATCTTAGTACACTGTGGGCACATGCAAATCAAAATACAGAATGCAAGCCAAAAATGACCAGAGCAGATAAGAGGAGAGATTTCAGAGTAGATATCCTTCAGAGATGGATTTAGAAAAGTGATTGAATAAACTATAATTAAGTAAGAGCATATGATGGTTAGCTTTACCTGTCAATCTAGAACACAACCTAGACACAACCTAGAATCACCTGAGAAGAAAATCTCAATTGAAGATTTTCAATATTTGGTTGAAACTCAGGCATGAACCTAGAGGCTGGAACTGGAGTGAGGCCAATGCTTCTCACTGGCTTGCTCTCATGGCTTGATCAGATTGCTTTCTAATGCAGGATGGGTCAATCTTCTATGGGGTGTCATTGCTGCCAGTGATCTGGACCCTTCCACATCAATCAATAATGATGAAAATTCCCTATAGGTTTTTCTACACTCCATTCTGGTGGGGGTATTTTCTGCATTGTAGTTCCTTTTCAAAAATGACCCTAGCTTGTGTCCAGTTGACATAGAATCCAACCAGCAGAGTTTCTAAACTATTTGTGTGGAGAAATCAAGCAGAGTATAAGCAAGCCAGCCGGTGGGCAGATCCACCCTTCATTGCGGATGTGATGTGACTAGCTGCTTCAAGTTCCCACAACTGTGAATTACCCGTATTGTTGGGCTGCAACAAGGAACTGGGAGTTAAATAAGCTCTTTCTCAACCAGGCTGCTTTCACCCAGGATATTTTTCACAACTGTAGAAATGAAACTGAAACTGGGTACAAATTTGGGACATACCAGAACACTGAGCTGTAAAGGCTCTTGGGGAAAGGAAGGGAAGAATCATAAGAAGTGGGCTTAAGTATGAGCTACTTACACCTGCAGAGAAATATTCAGAATGAAGCATAGTTTGACTTTGTGTCTTTCCAGCCGTCTATGAGCAGTCCTGTGAGGTGTACAGACACCGAGGGAACACAGCTGGGTTCTTCTACGTCGACTCTGATGGCAGCGGGCCACTGGCACCTCTCCAGGTGTACTGCAATATCACTGGTAAGGGCAATGCTTTCCAGGCATGCTTAAGCTGGATGACTGGTGGAAAGGGACATCTGAGTGAACAAAACTTACATGGGGTGGGGGAGGATGCTATCATGACAAATAGGAATTAGCTTAGTTATTTTCAAGGCAATTAGAAGAAGGAGCTTGGTAGTCAAGACACTGTTCCCTGAGTCAGGAATGAATCATAAACTGTTCTCTTTAGGGCTACCTAAGGACATCTGCTCTGTTAAAACTCAACAACAGAAAGAAAAGAAAGTGAAAAATAAAACAAATAAGCACACAAAAAATTAAGGCATGAAAATCAGTGAGAAGTCCTGACTTACAAAGGGGAACTCCATTCATAGATGGTTCTGTGGATTATGTGTCCGGGTGAGTCCTACTTCAGTGGTTTATCAGTGAGATGGGATTGAGATACTACACACCACAGAGCTGGGAGGATCATAGATAATCCACTATGTTGGACCAGCTAGTAAAGACCAAAAACACAGTTTCACCTCAAAATCCCTAAGAGATACTTTATTCTAGAGGATGACCATGACCTAAGCACATAGATTTAGTTCACCACCAACTCTATTTGGTGGTTAATTTACTCTATAATAAAATTGCACAGTGCTAAATAGTCCTAGTATAATTATCATTAATTGGCATATACCTATATATTTGTCTCTGTGTGTCTCTCTGTCTTTCTGTCTCAGTCTCTCTCTCTCACACACACACACGCACACACACACATACACAGGCTTGCAAAATTGTTTCAAGAACTAGTCCTCAGAGATTCAAGATATGGTAATATCATGGATCAACAGATTCAGGCCTCTCATATTTTATGGAGTATTTGTGTCCTAGGATCCTCTGCAGTTAGGGAGCATACTTATCAAGTTCTTTTTAGCTAGACAGTGTTCAAGGCAGTTAGGATATGCAAAAAATATTTAATACAGCATGGATATTCACAGGACAGTAAACTCAGGAACAGGGCCATGAAATGCTGTAGACAGAAAGCAATGGAACCAGTGCAAGAAGTGCTAACAAGGTTCTTTCGGCCAATTTTCCAACTGAATGCAAAGATCCAGACACTAGCTGCAGAATGTTCTAGTTATATTAGTATCAATACTACATCATCTAGTAAAGAGTGGCTACATGTGAGTTACTTTGTAGTAGCTTTGGAACATGAATAGAAATTATGTTGTTTGCTATTCTTGGTTATTGTTTCCTAGTCCTGTTCACCAACATAGTCAGGAATGGACCTCTTAGTGTGTCTTGATTCTTTTCAAAACATAACTCACACATAGGATCTTAGTAAAAAATAAAATAAAAATTCTAGGCTAGCTTACAAAATTCTAATTCACTAAATGCACATTTCCTAAGGCATTTAGTTGTAAAACGCTCCCGGTGCATCAGAAAAAGAAAAAGAAAAAAAAAAAAAGGGATTTTGGCTACAAGAAAAAGCAAAAGAGACAAATGCCTACTGCTGAGCAATAGGCGTGTGACATGCATCCAAGGGTTGTGAGATTACTACCAACTATTGAGTTCAGACACATTAGAGAATTTAATTGTAGCTTATAGATATCATCTCTGTTAATTCTCCCATTAAAATCATAAGCAAATGGCTTAAAAATTCTATATATTACAAGGAAGAAAGAGAATATGAGAATTTTATGGCTTAAGAGGAACCTGGCTCCTTATCAGTGGTCCCTTTGCTATGTGCTTGACCCACATCACTGAAATGTTAGGCTTCTCTTGACCAGAAGCTTTTAAATGAGAGGCCATTACTACTACTCTACTACTGAGGTGATGGATTAGATACTCATAGATAAGACTTTCCATAATGATGGATTAGGATGAACCTTTATTTGGGAACTCTTAAATATTCCATGTTAAGTTTGAGTGACTTGCTGTGAAATATGTAACAAAGTCACATAGAAAGTTTGACCTGAACAGGGTTTATGATCTCTTTACAAATGCCAAAAGCTAAGATTGGAATTAAATGTTTAAGCTTGTTTTCCTTAGAATTTTGCAATCTGGAAAGCCAGAGAAGTACTTTTCAAATTTGCTTTTCCTAACATCCTCAGCTACCAAACTTTGTTGAAAATTAAAAATACAGAGAGCTAATCCTCCCAAAGTTTAATCTTGGTCCTCTAGTCAGGTGCTCAGTGAGATTTTTTTTATCTGTACCTCTGATCACCATCATGTTTCTCTATCTACGGTTATTTTTATCATACTCCCATGGTGCAATGTTTATCAAACAAAGAATTATCAGTGTGCACATGCTGAGCTATTTTTAACAATGTGCTCAATGTGGGCACAATAACTTGACCACAATGTGGAATTGTGAATTTTTTTCTAAAATATGAAATATAATTGTGCTCTTATAAAATAGGGGAAATTGCATGTTTCCTTAATTTTGACAGCATTTCTGGGCTCTCAGTGAGCTAACTTTTGGGGACTAGGGTTCCAGAAAACTCAACTATCTCAGGAGGTATCCAGAAGGAGTAGATTTCAGGTTTTTGAGTTCAAAGAAGAAATTCAAGGACCAGAGATGGTGAGTTTTAGAGATAAGTTTATTATAGACTTATAAATGGGCATGAGAGAGAAAGAAGAGATCCTACATAATACAAATAGATTCCCAGGGAACTACTTGCCTGGGTTGTTGTAAATGACAAACTGCTGAAATATATACTGTAGGGATAGAGTTTTGGCCTTCTTAAGTCAATCAAATACTTGGGTATTTGGCTTCAATGAGTCTAGGCTATGTAAAACTGGCCTCTATGTTCCTAAAATATGACATGAAAACTGTTGCCACTGTAATGTGTACATCAGTGTACATTATCATCTGCATTGCAAACCTTGTGTTTACCTGGTAATATACTGCCTAGTCACATGGCATATTTAAACATTACTTTGGATGCTCTCTGTGATTGTGTGTGTGTTTTTTTTTTTTTTAATAAGTCTATCATTTAACTCAGTGAACTCAAAGATGAACATCCACAACAATGGGGATGGGCCCCATGTCATCAACTGATGGTCAGAGAAATTCAGGGACATCCCCCAACGAAGATGGAATTGACAGCATATGTTATGATTATGGGGCTTGATCGGTCAAAATCCACAGAGTCCCTCTCTATTTTTTCCACCCACTGCACATGCACACATCCAGCTCACCTGGTAGGTATGAGTAGCCTAGTAGGTATCCTGAGACTGGGATGAGTATTTAAACACTCACTTTTCCTCTCATTTTGTATAGATTTTTACTGATGCTGTTCTCTCTTCATGAAAACAATCATTGTTTACTGATGTGTTTCTATGATATGTACATTTCTCATTAGAATATATGAGACTAATTTGGTGCATGGTTCAGTGGTAAAGTACTGGACTGTTATCTTAGTTACTTTACTATGGCTGTAAAAACACCAAGACCAAAACAATTCATAGAGGAAGGAGTTTATTTGGGCTTATGATACCAAAGTTCATGGTGGTGGAGCAAAGGCATGTTGGGCAGTAGCAGGAAGCTGAGGAGTCACATCTTGAACCACAGGTTGGAAACAGAGGGAGCAAACTGGAAATGGAGTATGGCTTTGAAACTTAAAAGCCTGCCTCTGATGATGGATTTCCTTCATCAGGGCCAAACATCCTTAACCTATTTCAATACTGCTACAGTACCACCAAATGGGAAAAGAGTATTCAATTTCCAAAGCAGTGGAAGACATTCTCATGTAAATCACTACACAATAGAAGCAAGAGGGACACTAAATTCGGATTCGGTATGTACACACACACACACACACACACACACACACACACACACACACGAATGAATGAATGGATCTGTGTTTGGTGACCTTCACCTGTAATCCCAGAGCTGAGCAGGGATTACATTGCTAATTGGATTCCCGTATCAGCACATCATTGCTTCCTCTTACATGTGCTTCCTCCCTCTGCAGTCCTTTGCCTTTGCCTGAGTGGCCACTGTGGTGCTTGATATTCAGCCTCCTCCTCCGTAATTTTAAATAAAGCTCTTTATGTTTATCATATCTTGTAGGTCTATATAAGCGAGTATATTCCATGTTTGTCTTTCTCCTTCTGGGATACTTCACTCAGAATGATCTTTTCTAGATCCCACCATTTGCCTGCAAATTTCATGATTTCCTCCTTTTTGATTGCTGAGTAGTGTTCCATTGTGTAAAAACACCACAATTTCTGTACCCATTCCTCCACTGATGGACATCTGGGTTGTTTCCAGGTTCTGGCTATTACAAATAAAGCTGCTACAAACATGGTTGAGCAAATGTCCTTATTGTGTACTTGAGCAAATTTTGGGTATATGCCTAGCAGTGGTATAGCTGGGTCTTGAGGAAGCACTATTCCTAGTTGTCTGAGAAAGTGCCAAATTGACTTCCAAAGTGGTTGTACCAGTTTACATTCCCACCAGTAATGGAGGAGGGTGAAATCTATACACCTAAAGAAGATAATCAAGAAAGTGGACACGGGGTATGATAATCAATCCTCATTTAGAAAGACTAATGGGATATGCATTGAACATATGACAGGAGTCTACTGCAGAAGGCCTCTGAAAGACTCTACCTAGCAGTGTTCCAAAGTAGATACTAAGACTCATAACCAAACCCTCGGCAGAGTGCTGGGAATCATATGAAAGAAGGGGAGTTTGATGTGGAAAGGATAGGAGCTCCACAAGGACCAAACATATCTGGGCACAGGGTCTTTTCTGAGATGGACACTCAACCAAAGATCATGAGAGGATAAAACCTAGAACCTCTGCTTGGATGTGACCCGTGATAGCTCAGTAATCAATTGGTTTCCCATAGTAAGTGGAACAAGGACTATTTCTAACAGGAGCTCAATGACTGGCTCTTTGACCTCCCCACCTCCCAAGGGAGGAGCAGTACTGTTAGGCCACAGAGGAGGACTTTGCAACTAGTCCTGAAAATACCGGACAAAACGGAGTCATATGAAAGGGGAGGAGGTCCTCCCCTATCAGT